TAGTCAAAAATGTGCTTCTTTGGCCAAAGAAGCACATTTTTGACTATGCTTGTATTATTTTAAAATTGTGGAGGGAAATAGAGATAAAAACTGCATGTTCAATGGCACTGTATGTCATCATTCTGTCTTCTTCCAATGTTGCAGCAGTAGTTCATGAAACACCAGCACCAGCTTCTTTATCTTGACCATCAGATTTTTCACTGCAAGCTTGAAGGTGGGAGTGAAGTGGAGATATGATCTGTAATTCTGGTGTATGTAACATTAAATATCACAATCAACTGTTCAATAGGAAAATGTTCAAACAGGCTTAAGCTGAAGGCAGGATTTCTGATGTTCTGCCCCATCTCTGCCTAAAAACCATAAAGTGTCTTTCATGGAAGTAAACTTTTTATTTAATCTTTTTTTAACCAAACAAGTCACACTGAGGTCACAAATTTATTTTTGTAATGGAGGCCTGGGTCTGATCAGCATAAACATGCATATTTTGGACGAAAAATGGAAACTAGAGCAAACCCTCACAAACATGAGGAGAAGATGCAAAATCTATTCATAAAGGCCCCAGGCCAAAACCGGGGCTTGAATCCAGGACCAGGTTGAGTCTGGATGGACATCCGGCCTAAAACTAATCTTTCATGTGAGTTCACTCACTGTGGTGACCCCTGAAGAAGGGAGCGGCTGAAAGAAACTTACATCATTTTTATTTAAGTACATTTATAGTCATAATTATTTTGATTTCCACATCTGTTTCACCATTTTCATTAACACGTCAATTCTGACTCCATGAGAATCAAGCTGCTGACACAAGCCGTCATAAAACAGGCAAGAGCCATTTTTCTGGCGAATGACTGCATTGGTGTAATAAGGAAGTAGTAGCTGCACCATCAGTCTGCATTCGCATTTCACTGCAGTTCCAAAAACAAACTTAATCCAATCAAATTAAATGATGATTATTACATTTGCAAAAGACGAACCTTAAACAAAAACTATAAGAAAAAAAGAAAAGAGGTGAAAATGAGAAAACACAGACAAACCTTGTAAAAATGTTGATTTAAAATAAAACATAAATATGAATAAATGTAGCCTCAGATGTTTGTGCCATAATGTGTACATGTGCACATTTTGCACATATAAAAATATCCCAAAGCTTAAAAAAATGCCACTTTAAACACACGAAAAATTACAACAAAATAATCCACATAACTTGACAATTACTGTACTTTTATGGTCTTTAAGATAAAAGGTAAAACTGTTGTGTTAGTGGACCCCAACTTAGTATTTGAATTGTTTTTAGACAACAATCTTGCAGTCATGTTCATTCTTATGTTGTTATCAGGTCTCTCTTGTAAATGAGTCCCAGACGCTGATTAACCTGTGTATAAAGAAAGGTTGAAAATTCTTATGTTGTGTTTTCTGTTGCATTGATGGCCCAGTTTTCAAAGATTTTGTCTTTAAATAACAAAAACAGCATAAATATAAAACACAAAGCAGTGGTCTGACCCTTCCCTTCCTCTAAATCTGTTACAAAAAATCAGAATTTAAAGCTTGAAAAGACCACAATAGTAAAAATATTTAAAAGAAATCTAAATAGGAAATGTTAAAAACCTTTTTATTTTGTATTATATAAATTAAACACTAAATATCATGAATAATTTAACATTTATAACCAACTCCTTAAAGTCTTTTGAGTTTTCATCTCACCTGTTGGTTAATTTCTACTGGGATCTTACTGAGTGTCTGGCACTTTCCTTTTATGTACACATTCACTTAAATACCTGGTACTTACTGTGTATTTGACCAGACACTTATGGTTATGTACCTGGCACACACCAGTTATGTACCTGGTCCCTGCTGAAATGTTTTAGACAGTGTCCAGAAGTCGACCATGAATCTACATGTGCTGGAGTTAGTTTCTACTGCAGTAATAAATAAATAAAAAACTTCCCATTTGTTTGATCCCTGCAAAAAATAAATGCAGTATTTAGGATTCTACAATGTACTGTATATTTAAAATGTTCACAGTGAAACCAAACTGAATTAGTGAATGTTTTTTCAAATAAAAAAAGCCCTTGAGCAAGAACTAATGGCTTTTCTGCTCCTCAAGTGTTTCATTCATGTAATTCTTCAGTCTTCATTTCAGTTTGGCGTCTGCAGCAGCTCCCTGATCTCTTCTCTGCAACAACATTGATAGCATAAATTACTCTCTCTTAATGGGGGTTAAATTATTATTTGTCATCAAATAGAAATCAATATAACAAAAAACATCAAATAAAAGGCTTCATTAAACCTCCATAAGTTTTTAAAATAAAGGAAAAAATGTCAGAACAGCAACAGCTAAAGAGACGCCATGAAATAAAACCAAAAATCCAAAAGAAGTGAATGAAAAACATCCAAATATTGATCCCTTTTAAAAATAGAGATCGTTTTTTGTCTTTTGTGTCTTTCACACAGAATTTAGACCTAATGGTTACAATTTTGTATATATTTTAAATAAAGGTAAACACATTATATGCAGTTCAAAAGAATATGAGGAACTCTGATATCTTCAATTACACAGATTGTTTTTAAATTTGATTTAATTTTTCATGAATGTTACCTTCTTCTGTGAGTCTGGGGTTAAACTTCTGTTGATTTTCCCTGCAATGCAAAATGAAAAGGTTTAAATTAGAGTTTATTCAAATAGTCACACAAAAAAAACCCCACAATTGACACTCCTCAGTAATAATAGTTATTATTTTTGCTGGCTGGCTCTGTTTCCTTCATCTATGTAACAAGAAAATAATTTTGTAAGACATTCATTTAAGGTTTAACCCACACTGAGGTTTGATGATGTGAATTAGAAACACTATAGATATACAGCATATTAACTTTTAGATCGACCTACTCTTCCACTTGGGTGGTTCCACTTCACTTCAAACTTGGGTCCTCTACCAGAGACCTGGGAGTTTGAAGGTTCTGTTCAGTATCTTAGCAAGGACTGCATTCCTCTGGACAGAGATCTTTGAGGATGTTTCTGGAATCTGTCGGATCCACTCTTCCAGGATGAGGGTCACTGCACCAAGTGCTCCAAAGACCACTGGGACTACTGACGCCTTGACTCTCCACAACTTCTGTATTTCCACTTTCAGACCTTGGTATTTTTTCTTCTTGTGCTCCTTCTTCCTGATGTTACAGTCACTTGGGATTGCTACATCTATCTCCACTGCCTTCTTCTCTTGAGTGCCAACCACCACAATGTCTGGTTGGTTAGCCTTCACCTGTTTGTCAGTCTGGATCTGGATGTTCCACAGTATCTTAGCCCTACCATTCGTCACCACTAGCCTTGGTGGAGAATGGCAGGTCTTTCACTTTGACTGTGGGACCTCCAGTCCATACTCAGCACAGATTTTCCTGTATATTAGTCCAGCCACTTGGTTATGTTGTTTCATGTATGCTTTTCAGCCTGAATCTTACACTCTGCCATTATGACTGTCTTAGAGATATCTTTGCACAGCCTGCATCTTGGGTCTTATCTGGTATGGTAGACCCTGGCCTCTGTTGCTCTTGTGCTGTGGGCCTGTTCTTGTGCTGCTATGATTAGTGCCTCTGTACTGTCTTTCAGTCCAGCCCTTTCTAGCCACTGGTATGATTTGTTGACATCAGCCACTTCCTCAATCTGCCAGTGGTACATGTCAAGCAGGGGCTTATCTTTCCATGAAGGCTCCTGTTGTTCCTCCTCTTCCAAATTGGGTTTCTGCTGCTACCTGAGACATTCACTCAATTCATCCTCCAGATGTACTGCAGGATCTTAGTTGTTTTAGCCTGGATAGCCTGCTCAAACGCTTTCTAGTCCTCTGCCTCTTTCCTTTCTCTTAGTGTATTGTCTCAGGGTGCTGGACTTGGGGGTGAAACCAATCCAAGCATTGAGGAGTCTTTGTGTTAGTGGCTTCTATCTCCTCCTGCAGGCTATTATACCAGCTGAGTGTCAGAGGATGACTGGTACTGCATACGTGTTGATGGCTCAAACTTTGTTCTTGCCATTCAGATGGATCTTCAGGACATGCCTTACTGTTTGTAGGTATTTGGTTGTGGCTGACTTTCTTGACATTCTTTCTTTCTTCTTCAGACTGATAAAGTCTTCTGGATAAAAACAAAATGTTTCAACAAACAAGAATCCACCCAGAGGATCAGACTTAACCATGTTAGATTTTTCTACCTGGATTATTGAGCATACATCAGGAATTTCTTCTTTTTTGTTTCATCGTGATTGCCATTTGCCTGTGGGATTCCAAGGTATTTATCTGTGCTGGACATCTTGCCTTCAGGTAGTCCAACCCCTTCAGTTGTAATCACCATGCCTTTCTTGCCTTTATCATATATATATATATATATATATATATATATATATATACGTATATATGCTGTATGTCTATGCATTCATTATCTTTACTTGTTTCTTCCTTTTTGTGTCGTGGGGGTTCACTGGTACCCATTCCTATTTCCAGCAGTCACTGTGTGAGAGGCAGGGTACACCCTGGACAGGTCCAAGTCCATTACAGGGACACATAGAGACAAACATCCATTCACTCTCTCACTCACACCTAGTGGCAATTTCGAGTTATCAATCAGCCTAACTTGCATGATTTTGAACTGTGGGAGGAAACTGGAGTACCCCCAAAAAAAACATGCATGCATGGAGAGAACATGCAAGCTCCACCCAAAAGGGTCTTTGGCTGGGATATGAACCAGCGACCTTCTCGCTGGGAGGCAGCAGCTCTACAAACTGTTCCACCATGCCGCCTGCATAACAATGCCTGATAAAACTGTCATGTATGATTTTCTTTTGGTCAGAATGAGCAATCAGACGCAGTCTTACATGCGGTTTGCAAAAAGGAGACACTGCTGTTGGATAAACCTGTCAACCTTCTGAAGGACAGCTGCAATTAACTGTGACTGAATGAAAAAAAAAAGCATGAACATAAGATTTTCAGACCATGGCGGCTCTGAGTTGTGACTGGAATCATTGTCTCTAGTTTATATCAGGTTTTCTTTGTTAAACTTTAAAGTGCACCTGAGTTTTTTCCAGATGTGGAGGTTTTGGGGGAACACCCGACTTCTTTCTTGTAACAGTTGGTGAATCGGTTTTTATCAGGCTGGGTGTCCGACGAAGTGGTGGTTTTAGCTCTGAACTGTGGGCTCCAACCGATGAGTCGTCCACTACCTCTCCACTGAATGCAGACAGGTTTGTCCTCTCCTCAGATGAATCAGAGTTGTTCACTAAAGTACAAACAATACCATTAATTTTATTAGTTCAAGTTTCATTTATGCTTTTATAAATATATTTTTACCAACAGATAAACTCACTCAGAGGACAATGAGTTTTCCACTGATCACAGTGAGGATGAAGATGATGCTGACGAAGGTGATGATTGTTCAGATCATTGTCTGTCACCGAGCAGAGGGCCGGGCTTGGGTCAAATCCATACGATGGGTTCCCAGGATAACCAGCAGGGGGTAGTGAGCCGCGACCAGAGGAGGACGATGATTGGCTGAGGGTGGTGGAGGTGGTGCTGCCGGATCCGATGGAGCGTGGTCGGGGATATTCTAAACCCCTGTGTGAACAACACGCCACAGGGACTGACAGCACACAGATAAACGGCATCAATGAGAATATGAGATGCTGTGCTGCTAGCTAGATTTTGCTCAAGTATAAAAACTAAAAGAAAATGTGAAAAAATATTGGCTAAATTCTAGGAGATGGTGTATATATGAGACATTTTACTGATATTCTTAACATTTGTTTTTATTTTTCAATTATATATAAGTTAATTTGGTGCCACAAATCCATCCGTTTGTTAGGATTTAAACTTTTCTGTGCTCACTTTTCCTGGGTTTTCTCCTAAATGGAGGGAAAGGAACTTAGCAGAAATGAGTCTTTCCCCAATAACTGTAGTTAACTCTAAATTAAGGGAGTGAATGGTTGTTTGTCTCATTTGTTTCTATGTGTGTCTGTGATTGATATGACCTGTCCAGGGTGTCCCCCGCCTCTCACACAGTAATGGATGAATATGGGCACCAGTGACCCCGGTGACCCGAAAAGGAAGAAGCGGATAAAAATAATGGATGGATGGATGGATGAAGCTTGTGGTATGCATTTGTAGAACTTGTGGTACGCTTGTGGATCTTATTGTACACATAAAAACCTTGTTGTATGCTTGTGTGACTACTTATGAAACTGATTTATTTTCATATAAATATACAGCAAAATATATTAAAAAAAGAACAAAACAAAGCCTGACATGGTCACTTTTACATTTAGTATCTAATGTTGGGTATCTAATGAACTGGTGATTACATCAGAATATGGTCTGAGATGATGTGTTTGCAGCTTCTTACCTCTCCCAGGCAGGACACAACCGACGGCTCGGTCACAAATTGCAGCATCACTGGGTTGGATGTCCATGAAGGGTTCACGACCCATTCCCATGAACACCCTTTCCTGCAGACGCAGCTCTGGAAGATACAATATATTCATAATGTTTTATTTTTTATTTTTTAATTACTTTTAAAGCATTTTATAAACTCATTAGGTATGTACATAATAAAAAATATATAGTATATAGTTGTACAACCTCTGCTGTGAGCTGCCTGGTCCCACAGTATCCTCTCCAGGTCAGTGGTCCAGGCTTTCTTCACCTCAAGGCTGGATGCCTTCAGAGTGTAGGTGTCCTCATGTTTTCTCCTGCGGATCCAGATCTCAAAACACAAACTGCCCATACAAGAGTTCTGGGTCATCCCAACATCGTTTGTCTGGCAAATAAAACAAAGTACCAAAATGATTGGACTTTTTATGAGCATAATTTATTTGTTTTTGTTTATGACTCTGATTTAAAGGTACAAATATAGGTGCATCTCAAAAAAACGTATAATTTCGCTAATAAATTCAATAATTTTTGTCTATCATGTCACAAAGTGAAACTCATACATTATATAAATTCATTACACACAGAAAGAGAAAGATATGTCAAGCCTTTATGTCTTGTAATTTTGATTATTATGTTTTATACATAATGAAAAAACAAAATTCAGTGTCAGAAAATTAAGACTTTTGTGAAAAGGTTCAATATTGTAAACTCTTGGTGTCACACCCTAATCAGCTGATCAACTCCTAGACATGAGCTACAAATGTCACGTTCCTCAAGTCCAGTCTCTCCTGAACCAGAGACAACGTCAGGTCTTAACTGGGCTGAGAAGATAAAGAACTGGACTGTTGCTCAGTGGTCCAGTGTCCTCTGCTGGTGTTGGTCCACTGTGTTTTCTGAAGTCTACAGTCCACACTGCATCTACCAGGACATTTCAGAGCACTTCATGTTTCCTTCTGCTGATGAGCTTTATGCAGATGCTGATTTCATTTTCCAGCAGGACTTGGCTCCTGCCCACACTGCCACAAGTACCAAAAGCTGGCTGTGGAATATTATAATTTTCTGAGATACTGAATTTTGTTTTTTGATTATTTTTAAGCCATAATCATCAAACTTACAAGAAATAAAGGCTTGAAATATTTCACTCCAGAATCTGCTGTAATATATGAGTTTCATATTATGAAATGATTGACAAAAGAAATTGAACTTTTTCATGATATTCTAATTTTTTTGAGATGCACCTGTGCAGTCTGAGTAATCAGTGGAGATATCAATAAAACATCAAGATTTCATCCTTGAATAGAGACAAAAACCAAGAGGAAAACTCTTCTAGTTGTTTGCACCTGACTCCATTTAGAAAAATTCAGAGCAAAATGTTTTGCCTCTTGTTTCTTTTTATGGAAATGCGAAAAAAATAAAAAATAAGATTAATAAAAAGTTATTTTTACTTCCAGTAGAGTGTTTATTATTACGTGAAAGTCGTTAAAAACTAAATATCATTATTCAGCTGTTTGATGAAAACAATAAAACGACGTGTGCAGACCTTTAACGACTGTTTGTAGACATAAACATCATTTCCAACGTTTGTCCCTTTGGGCTTGCTGAAGAGAATCAGATGCTCAAAGAGGAAGAGTCTGCGAACACATTTCTTCTTCCTGAAGAAAACTGTGAACTCATCCTGGCGAATCAGCTGTCCCTGCTCCTTTAGATTAACCTTAGAAAAGAGAAAAGTACAGAAAAGGATAGAAGGCTGTTAATGCCATTTAGATGATAGAACCTATAATTTAAAGATCTTACATCGCAGTCCTGGATAGCGTCCATTGTGAGCAAATCGTTGCCGTGACGCATCTGAAACTGAATGAGGTCCGCCGCAGCCTGGATGTCAGCTCTCTCCCTGTCCCTCTCAAAGTCTGTCAGGTCAGGGACATGTGCAGACAGGTCACACGCACCGTGTCCACACACACCAAATGGGGACACAGTGTCATGTGTCCTGTCTCTTGATGCGCGTGAGGAGACTAACGCCAGCATGTCCTGCAGCAGGAGGCTGTACTTGCTGATCCTCTGAATGGGTCTCAGCAGGTAGGATGAGAGGTCCATCATGTCCCCCAGCTCCTGCTGCTTCTTCTGTGAGGGGACAGCGTAAAACGGGACAGTGAAGGTTAAGCGGTTTAGTCAATTTTAATTTTTGAGCTCCAAGGACCGTTAGAGCACATTTCACTATAAACTCAGCTTTGTTTTAACGCCTAGGTGAAATTTGAATATTTATAAACTAAGACCAAACAATGTTGGTTAATGTAAGTCTGGTAACTATTTTTTTATTTTTGTTTAATCCCTGTTAACTTTCTAACTTTATGTCCACTACTATAATATTTCACATTTAATCAAGGAAAACAATAAATATTTGGTAATAAGTGTAAGTGTAAATGAGTGAATATAGTTTTTAACCTACTAAGACCCAAACTCTTGCATATGTGGATGCCAGGTCCTAGAGTACTAACTTTAGACCACCTGATGTTGTGTAGTCCTGATCTGTCCATGCATAGACTGGACAAGAGCTCTGAAAATCTGCAGGGGTGTCCAGTAATAAGACATCATTTTGTCTAGGTGGGGCTACACATTAGAAAAACGTATGTACACAAATAACACACTGTATTTCACATAATCTGAGAAATGGTCCATAATTGCATTAACTCGCACACAGACAAACTAAACAGCTGCTATACTCGCTGATACGTTAATGCAGATTAAATATAGTTGCTCAGTCGATTACATCATAGTTAGCTCCTTGAAGTTTACGGTTTTAAGTTTACCTCTGACGACAGTCCGCTCAGAACAAATGGGAAGCTACCGTTAGCATTCTGAGTGCTGCCTGAAACATTTTGCTGCTGCTGCCTGTGAGCCTTCTTCCCACACTGTCCTCTTTATGTTACCAGAGATCCATATGACAAAAAAACAGTGATTTCTGAGACTCAGTCAGATTCTTTTATCGCTCAACTGTCTGTTTCTGATCATAACGGCTTTAGATGCAGTGGACGTGAACTTGGGGTCAAATTGACACCCAAACAGATCTAATACCTGACCAGATTATGTATCAGGCTGTGTGACTCTGAATGTAACATTTTTACAAAGCACCGCATGTCTACAATATTATTAATATTATTACTGATTCAGCATTAGTTAACACTTAAACAATCTGGGCTATAGATTTAATAGCTTTTGCTTCTTATACCTACATTAATGAGGCTGCTCATAACTTTATTGCCAGTTTAACAGTTTCCTTTCTCTTTCACCTCTGTAGACCGATCATTTTTACACATCTAACCATCTCAACTTTATTTTTGCAAAGTTCTTCAAATCCTTAAAGTTGTCATTTTTTACTCTCTCTCTTCTAAAACATTCGATTCAAGGACAGGAGGCTCCTTTGCTGCATATTTTCCTTCCCACTGCCAGTTTTCATTGTAACATTTATTTACTATTTTACCTCATCTGTCAGTCTTATTGTGTGATCAGTTTATCTTCAGAGGCAAGTAGTCCTGGAGCAGCAAGTTTACAATGATGAACAGTGAAAATTTACAAACAGTGCTTTAAACTAACCCTTAATCCTGTACAAACGGTGTAAGGATTCATTTAGAGCCAAAACAAATGTAAGTGAGAACCCAATACATTTCACTTTGTGAAACAAAAGTGTGAACCCAATACTTGTGATCTTGTGTTGCAGCTGAGTTCAAACAAAAACAACAACAATAAATAAACAAATACAGACTAACCTTGAAGATATCATGGCGATGGTGCAAGATCAGAGCATCTGACTGAGGTTTATTCTTGCTGTACAACGCATACAGGCCAAAACTCCCGCTCTGAAGAAAGTTCAGGTGAGCATCACCAATGCAGCACATTTAAAACATTATATTTAAGAAGAAAGCCTTTACAGTAAAGATATACAGTTATTTCTCACATGTCTGAGAAAGCAGCGAGCCACCATGCCCGGCTGCCTCTCACTGGCCTCCAGCTCCAGTAGGAAATAATGACTGTGGAAGTCATAAAGCTTCTCCAAGTTTCCAAAGATGACCCCACGCTTGCCCCGAAGGTCCTGAGGAATGTCCAACCTGTCCATCAGTGGGAGGTAGTGTGACAGGATGTAACCCAGAGAGCGCACGTACTCCCTCTCTGTGAGCACCAGCTCGTCCATGATGCGCTGCAGCCTCCTGGTGACAAGGAGGGAGAAACGATGCATGAACTTCACTCATGAGAGACTCAAGGTAATGCAGAAAAACACCATTACAATTAAACACCTCATTGTTATTATTTTTATTATTGTAGAAGACAGAAATGACTGTTGTAGTTAGCTAACGTGATGCGCTTCCTGTGATGAAACGAGTGGTTTGCCTTTTAAAAATAGTATAAGGCATTATAACCTTTAGACAAACCTTTCAAATAGTTCACCTCCTGCAAAGTTTTCTTGTTATGTTTCTTTACTGGTCTCACATGATAAGTGGATTAAATTTTTTTTTTTTACTGTACTTGTCAAAAATTTGCACTAAATAAGTTGCAAACGTAGAATTTTCACTTTTTGTTAAAAAAAAATGTAAAAATGGTTTTAATGGTTCATTTTAAATGTTTAAAATGAATTCTAAACTCCTGAAACTTGGCTGATTTACTTGTAAACTCGTTTATTACAGAAAAGCAGAAACTGGCTTCTGAGTGGTGTTTTGTTGCTGCTCCTTGTTGTTAAAAATGAAAATGTTTAATTTCATTTATTCCTAAAAATAACTTGGGCTATATCTTTGTTTTTATCATTTCAACAGATGAAACAGATGAATATAGCCTTTACTCTAATGAGATAGGATGAATTTTAGGAACAGGCTGCCATCTTATCTGCTTTTTAAACATTTCAAATAGCTTCAAAAAGTTAACCTGTAGCCAAATCACACTCCTATGTTTCCTGAGAACCATTACTTTGACTGATCCTATTCACTTATTCTGGTGTAATTGCGTTTTTTCAAATGTTGTTCATTTACACCTTAGGGCCACCGTACTAAGGTGTAAATGAACATTTGAAAAAACGGAATTACATTTGAAAAAATTGAATTACATTAAGCCAAACAGGATTTTTTTTTTTTTACTTGGGCGGCTGTGGCTGAGTGGTTAGAGCAGTCGTCCTCCAATGCAGGAGTTGGGGGTTTGAATCCACCAGCAGTCACATGCCGAAGTGTCCCTGGGCAAGACACTGAACCCCTCATAGCCTCTGATGTGTCTCATCAGTGAATGAATGTGATCTAAAACTCTGATTAGTCTCTTTAAAATGATTAGTTCAATTATCTTTGTAGAGATCTAGTAGAGTGCTGTACGAATGGGTAAATGAGGACACAGATTGTTTTGTAAAACGCTTTGAGTATCTTGATTAGATAGAAAGGCGCTATATAAGTACAGTCCATTTACCGTTTACTTTATTAACAGCATAAAACCGGACAACAGAACAATATACAGTACACACAACAAAGTTAGCAGGTTAACCTTTAGCCTGTAGAAACTGTTTTGTTCAGCCTGAAGAAGATATGACGCTGAAAAACTCGGAAGGATCTTCAAGGTAATGAAGTTTTGTTGACAGACATTTCATTTATACATTTTAGTTTTACTCGCGCTGCATTAGTAATATTGTATACATAGCCATAATCATTTAAACGATAAAATGAACATGAGGCAAGCCCCCAGATGTTGCAAACTATAAATAGATTTGTCCACAGAGAACCAACCTAGTGTGTGCTAGTTACTAAAACATTAGCAAGTGTACCAGGGATTATCCGTTTAATTTGATGTTGCACAAATGATAAAATAAGACAAGTTTCTTCAGTTTGTCATTCCCTTTTTTTCTAATGTTGTTCATTTACACCTTAGAGCCACCATAACTTATAGGTAGATTTCATCACTTTGCTCAGTCATTCTGTTTTTTAATCAACCCATTAATGAAAAAGCAAAAAAAGCAAAGAGACAGTACCTGAAGCTCTTCACTGTCAGCTTAGAGACAGAAAAGTGTTCATTAATCTCCACAAGATTCACAGGAGTTTATAAGTTAGCGATAAATATGTTTTAATCAGCTGCACAAGATGATTTTCACCCTCATATGATCAACTTACAGGGCACTGTTGGTGTTCTCTGGTGAACTGGACAAATAAAACGCTCCTCCGTATCGCTCAGTGGGTAGGCTGGAGTGTTTACAGCACACAGTCCCAATCCCCCCCGCAGCCCCCCGGTCGCTCATACATGACTCCTCGTCGGAGCAGAAGCTCCCGTGGCGGGAGATCTGAAACTTCTGAGCTTCCTGGAGGATTCGAGAAGATGGCTGACTGTGGTGGGAACACGATGACAGAGGTCGAGGCTGCTGCTCTGGAGATGAGCCAGCTGCCGCGACTCTAGGTGCGCATGAGTCCTGACTGACCGACCGCACGCCAGGACCCCGTTTCCATGGAAACCACTGGCAGCCGACAGTATGGGACTGAGACAGAGCAGCAGCATCTCTCTCGCTTCTAGCTCTGCTCGTCTGTCTCCTCCTCGCCTCCCTGTCGGTTTTTCTTGTTGACCTATTAAAAATAAAACAAAAAGTGAAATTATAAAGTTTCTCCTCTTTGTGTTTCTGCAGAATGATCTCTTGAGGAATCTACACCTGATAATTGTCCAGAGAACCTGACTGAACTTTTTTAGATTTTTCTACCTAGATTATTGAGCATGCAGCAGGACACACCTGATAATATTTTTAGAAAATCTGATTATCTATTTATTTATTTATTTTTGTCATCACCTCAAGCTTAAAATCTTTGGAATTCAAGCATTTATAAGGAAGACGTGTGTTGTATTTTGAGTCTTTTTATCCAGTTTGCTACTTTAGCTTTTAGCTACTGTTTTGTTCCTCTTAGCTTTTAGCTGGTTTTTTTTTTTTACTGATTTTAGCATTTAGCTACAGTTTTGCTAATTCCAGCTATTAGGTACAGTTTTGCTAATATTGTCATCTAGCTACTGTTTTGTTCTTTTTAGCTTTGAACTATGGTTTTGTTGATTATAGCTTTTATTGTAGGAGTTGTGGTTTTTGCCCCCTGATGTCTAGCCCCATCTGGTGTTGTGACTCGTATTTATGATTGCTTTCTCCCATCCTCTGTTTCTCTTTATAGGGTTTGTGTTTTCCTAGTGTCTAGCTCCATCTGGTGTTGTGTCTCTGTCCCCCTCTCTTGTATCTGATTTGTTCTATTTTCCACAGCTGTGTAAGCTCACAGGTGTTGTGTGTTAGTCCTCGTCAACATTTGTATTTAAGCCTGTGTGTTTCTCTTACCCCTCATCCTGGCATTGTCTTCTGTCTTCTGGTAATGGCCTATCTGTTCTGTGAGTGTTCATCTTTTTTGTTTTGTTAATCAAATATTTTATTTTATATATTTATTCTGAGTCTTTGCCTGTTTGCTTGCACCACTGGGTTCACCAGCACCATCCCATTGTGACATGTATCTTCTGTTAGACTAATTTTGGTTATTAGTTAGTTTTGCTGGTTTTAGCTTTTAGCTACTGATTTGCTAATATTAGCTTTTAGCTATGATTTTTGCTTTAATCTATTACTTTGCTTTTTGTAGCTACTTGATTTAACTTTATTTTATAAAACCTCAGCTTATAAAGTTAAGTGTAAAGAATGCAGTTACCTGTGGGGTGAATGTGGGGTGACCTTTGACTCCTGGCTTGCTCCAGCATCACTGCTGTCTTCAGGTTTGATTATAATGTTACAGCAGGCCACAGTTGTCGAATGAGGGGTCTTGCTATCCAGGATTGGCCTTCGTTTTCCTAAATCTGCTGCCCCTGACACAACCTCCTCCCACTGTGGATGTCGGAATCCAGGGGTTGACTGTACCACCAACATCTGTCCACCAGGAGATGCAGTCTGAACATTGGTGCTTATCACATCAACATAATGACCTTCACAGCAGCTGCTAGAAACTGGTTGCTGGTGGCAAACGTCATCCAGAACCTGCATCCTCTCGTGGAGCAGCTCCTGAGCTTCTTGACATTTCAGATAAGCAGCATTCCAAACCTGTATCCCACGGGAATCTGGCAGGGTGCTAGCCAAGGTTTTTATCTCCTGGAATTTATCTGGGCTGAAGTGAAGAAATTTTTCTTGAAAAGATTGGAGAATTATTCTGTCAGAAGATGGTGAAGTACTTGCGGTAGGACCTGAGCCGTGTGTTGCATCTGACTGACAAAGAGGTGTAGAGTTAGGACAGGGATCTTTGTTCTGTTTTTCTAACCAGGTGTTTGTTTGATTGGCCTGGGAGGCACTTTGAAGGTCTTGTATTGTGTGGATTCTGGATCGACTTTGGGTAAAAAAATCAGTGCATTCACCAGCCAGCTCCGTAGCCTGTTTGTGGAAAAACAGTTTTTGTGTAGCACGACAAAATATGCAAGTATGGTTAAAGATGTCAAGGATCTCACCTGCTCACAGAAGTCACACACGTTGACCATGATCTGCAGCTCTCGGCCACGTGCCTCAGCTCTGCACAGGAAATCCTCCAGGCTTGATTTGAAGGTGCAAACAAAAGCCCTGAAAGTTTCTGTCTCTGGGAAGGAAAGTCCACTCTGCTGTAGCCTCTCTGCCTCTGACACTAAGGACATGGCGTGGTGCCTGCGGTCCTGCAGGAAGCACAGAAGGATTCAGAGAGCTGGACAGGCAGAACAACGCAAGCGCAGAAAGATGGAAATGATGCAAACTCAGACTCACGTTAGCTTCAATTAGGAAACCTGTGAAGCTGTTGAGGACCTGCTCCATCCTGTCTCCAGAGCTCTGAATTGATGCAGCTTCCAGCAGGTGGCACTCTCCTTCAGCACTGAACCACTGCTGAATCTGCTCAAATAGTAAAAATACCAAATGAGCAAGCGTATGCGTTTAGATAGATTTCAGTTAAAGTTTATTATGACATATTTGAGTTATTAATTCATATACAGAAGTTGCATGTTATAGCTAATAAACAGCTGAATTAACTTCAGTACTCTGGTGACAAGCTGAAAAGAGCTTATCATTGCTTAGCTTTTTCATTTTGTTGTATTTTGAGTCTTTTTCTCTTTTGAGTGTGTGCCGGTGTATGATTTGTATTTTATCATGATGCATGCTCAATAACCCAGGTAGAAAAATCTAAAAAAGTTAAATCTGGTCCTCTGGACATAAAAAAAACCCAAAAAAAAAACAAAGCAAAACAACAAAAAAGCTTTTTTGTTGTTTTGCTTTGTTTTTGTTTTTTTTTAATGTCCTGAGGACCAGATTTAACTTTTTTAGATTTGTATTTTACTTGTTCTATGACATTCAATTCATTTTGCTCAACTCTATTTATACAGCACCAATTCACAACAAAACTGATCTCAGAGCACGACGCAAAAGTTACACAGGTCCATTATATGGTATATGCTGACAATGTTAATCAAATGAAACTGGATTAAAATAATCTATAAAGAGTTTTCAGTTAGCATCAAAAATGTATGAAAAAGTTGACATAGGTCAGCTAAAGAAAACAAAAATAGGAAGGAAACTATATTATAGAATTAAACCCCACTTCTGACTCGTGAAAAAAATATCTAAAGGGCAATATAAGTCTCACTGACCTAAACTCCAAAAGAAATTTAAATACATAAATCTGTGATTATATCATCACATATACTTAATTTAAAATGTTATTTTGTGAGTTTATCATAATGCTGAAAACCTTGTTTCTGTAAAATGTTGCAGTACATATTATAAATAAGTATATTGGCGGTACGGCTCTTTTGGTAGAGCTGTTGCATCTCAGTGAGAAGGTTGCTGGTTCAAATCCCAGTCAGGGACCTTTCTGGGTGGAGTTTGCATGTTCTCTCCGTGTATGCGTGGGTTTTCTCCGGGTACTTCGCTTTCCTCGCACAGACCAAAAACATGCATGTTAGGCTGACTGGTAACTCTGAATTGAGTGAGAGAGTCAACGGCTGTTTGTCTCGTTTGTCTCTGTGTCCCTGTGATGGACTGGAGACCTGTCCAGGGTGCCCCCCCCCCCCACACACACACACACATTGATAGATGCACAATGACACCAGTGACACTGCGACCCAAAAAGGAAGTAGCGGGTAAAGATAATGGATGGATGAAGTAAGTATATTGAACCTGGTAGAAGAGTCCTTCCATTTCTCTGAGCTGCAGCAGGTACTCCAGGTGTTCCAGGGACACGTTTGTCCTCTGCACGAGGACATGAGCCTGCTCCTCCACATGATTGTACAGACTGGACACTGAGTCCACTGCATCACTGTATGAACGAGAAAGGGAAACATCCCAAGAAGCAACAAGTAAAAGTAGTTCTTACTGTGTGCATTTGTTGCTGTACAGAGAAAACTCTTCTGAAGATTAGATCTCAGGTTCTGTGTGACACAAAATAAAGTTGCACCTTTACAAATGTCTTTGCTTATGTTCGGTTGTTTCCATAGTCAGTGTGAAGGGCCATTTGTGATCAACCACTGACCTGATTACTCACAGTACCGTATTTTTTGGACTACAAGGCGCACTTAAAATCCTTTAACATTCTTAAAAATCTACAGTGAGCCTTATAATCTAGTGCACCTTATGTATTAATTCTGGTTGTGCTTACTGACCTTAAACCAATTTTATGTGGTACAACTGAACAATGTTGAGCGTTATTATGAATGAGTTGAATAAAGTTTGACTTTTCTGACTGTTTTGTTTTGCTTAATGTGCCTTGTAATCCGAAAAATACAGTAATTTTCTTCTTTCATAAATACCATAAAATCATAAGGCAAATCTTGAATCAGACCACAACTAGACACATTAGCTGTAAACACAGAAAGCGAGGACATGTTTGTTGTTTACCTGAGGTCCTCGCAGTGAGGGTATTTCAAGTCACTCTCCTTCCTTAACCTTGCCAGAACGGCTCCGCCCTCCCTTTGCAGTTTGACCAATCGGCTGTCGTCCAGCACGTCCCTCATCAAAGTCTTCTGGTCCATCATGCGTTGCTGCACTGTCTGTTGGAGAAAACTCTTTCACTGATACACTTTATAAGCATTTAGAAATATTTTCATATTCCTCAGTAATTCAAAATAATATTTCATAATTTAAAGTTCAAAGAATGTGTTATTACCTGTACAGTATCTGTCATCTGCGGTTCCTCTAACTTACTGATGGCTCTCAGAAGCAGGCACGAAGCCTCATGGAGGTCAATAACAAATGGGAAGAGTCTCTAAAGAATCAAAGATTTGAACATTGAACCAGTGAGGAAGCAACATATGCACAATCTTACAAGAAGGAGGAGCATCAAAGCTGAGCAGAAACAGGTAATGTGTCTCACCTGGTGGAGCTCCATCCAGCCACAGCGGCCATCAGACGAGCCACCTACACCTGAGCTCAGCTGATTCGCTTCCACCAGTTTGAGCAAAGCTTTTATCGAAGTCACCAGATCAGTCTGAATCAACATATACACGTCAAATAACCTGGAGGTCATTACTCAAAAACTCTAGTGCATTTGTTTAATGAATTAAAAAACTAAACCTGTATCCCAGGACATCGTTCTGGCTGACGGTTGTCTTTGTCTACCAGCAGCACAAAACTGCTCACTGCGCAGGGACACTGCTCCTGGAACAGATTTTAATATGAGTTACACTCTTTTCATTGAAAATGATGAGAGTAAAGGTGCTAACTAACACTGTACCTGTAACACCTGCAAATGAACAGTATTTTGCAGCTATAAGTTGTCACAATTGTTATTAATTTAAAAAACACTTATTTTAGCTACAAAACAATAATGATTTAAGGTTATAAATATGTATTTTAAATAAGTGGCAACTCAGCTGGACATGCTTGTTGTACTCACGAGTTGATTCAGCTGTATTATAATACATATAATACATATATAATATACAGCTGATGTGTGGTTTGCGTGTTTCATACTTGAAGAGCCATCAAAGCTTTGTAGAGCTGTGGTTGAGGATTCTTCCTACGAGCATCAAAAATGAGAGTCATCCCAGCTTCTCTGATTTCCTTCCTGGATGCAAACACAAAGTAAAGAAGGTTGCTTTTGGTTTATGAGAAATAACACGAGTTGTATTAAAAATGAAAAAAAAAAACTAGTCATGGTATTATTTTAATTAATTTTAGAAAGGTGCATAACTGTGTATATCTCATTGCTTTTAATTTGTTTTAAATACAAATTATTTTAAAAAAAAATCAACAAATCTGAAGTCAACAAAGGCTGAAAAAGTGACAGTTGATAAAAAAATAATAATAATAAAAATAAAAAAATATATATATATATATAATTGATATACTCACTTTACAATGGCTAAGCATTGATTTACACACTATTTTCTGCAACAATTGAAAGTAATTTAAATTCGGGTTTTTTGAATTCACATAACTTTTCATTCATTCATTCAACCTTTATTTAAACAGATAAATCACATTGAGTCTCGAAGACTCGTTTACAAGTGAGACCTGTTTTTTTCAAACTCAGACCAAACTTTTCAATGGTGGACACTAACATTCAAATTATTATGAAATAATAACCCTGTTCTTTTTAAAAACAACAAAAAAGGTTGAATCATGTCATCTGGACTTCGTTTTTTTTTGTTAAAAAGAAACGTTTCGCCCCTCGTCCAAGAGGCTTCGTCAGTCTGAGGCCTAGCCATCTGGTATTACCCAGAAGCCACCCTGACTCTTGTGTTTCAAGCCTGCCTCAGATACCCCTGAGGTCTGGCCTTTTCACTAATGGTTTCAAAAACACAAAGTTTGTTTTCTCAGTCATCCAGGTATATAACAACAAAAA